TCATAATAATAATAATAATAATAATATAAAGAACTCTTCCTCTCCTCTCCTCCATGCGCTCTCACAGCCGACTCACTGCTACCCTCAGTAGCCATTACACACACCAACCAAGGAAGGGTTGCAGGTAGATACTGAAATTCCTCCTGACAGCTGTTTCGCCTTCATAAGGCTCATCAGAGAAAGGTGATATTGAATAGGATGATATCATGTGGAGATGGTCAGATTTATACTACAAAACATGGGCGCAAGATTACGGGCAAAGTGTGACAATGAAAAGTTACAATTCTCCAGCAACACAGTGCCAGGGGTTCCAAGAAAATGGTAGGTGAGTAATCCAATCACAAGCTGCTAACCTCTCCAGCAACACAGTGCCAGGGGTTCCAAGAAAATGGCAGGTGAGAAATCCAATCACAAGCTGCTAACATTCATTTTCTAACGGCTAGGTGATAGTTTAAGAATTTTGGCGAGCCACCAAACAAAGTGAAAGAAAGTAGAGTGCTAAGCGTGCAGTGCAGCAAAAGTTACAAAGAGTGCACACACGCATGAATGGACTGTAGTTACATGTAGATCTACTTTTCACTTGGGCAGTTCTCCAGCCAACCACGCAGGCATGCAGAGACGCACCACGTCGACTGTCCCCGCAGAGTCCCCTCCGGCGTTCTCCCGAGCAACAGATCTCCATTGGCCGTCACACCTTGCTGCGCACCGTACGTGGCCGGACCGACCGCTACCTCGCGCTGTCCCCATTTGCGCCTCCGTTGCTCGCTGCCGTTGAACGTCGAGACAACCCGGCCGAGCGTGGCGAAAGCAGAAATGAGAGTCCTAGGAGGAATTCGCTCGTCTGCCCCCACAGCTGAGTTGTCGACGAAGACCATGCTTCCACGATAATGACACCACTGATGCTATCGACTATGTGAAGACCACGATTCAAGACGAGGAGGGAGTTGATTTGTTTGACGCCGAGCTAGCCGCTCTGAGTGACCGGCACAACCAAGATGAAGATCAAACCTGGCTTGCTCTCCGCCGTAGCTCCAGCCGCCGCCGTGGTTACTAACGCTGATTCCAGGTATGGCATTTTCTTTCCTGACTTCCTTCAGTCTCCCTATTCTCTTCAGTCTTCCTTAATGCGAGTGTGTGAATCCAGTTTAGTTTGGTAGGCGTCTGATCATGGTGAGCCACCGCTTACCTAAGTAACCTGGTGAGAGAAGTGTGAGAGAATCCCCTTTTACACTCCAGGTGTGTACCGGAGTAAGTTCCCACGATGCAGTGCATTTTTTTTGAAATTGTGAATTTCCTGGCAGTTTGAGCCCGCGATGTGCAGAACTTTGGCTGTCTTTCACGTCCTGTTTGGAGGACCATTCTTTCCCTTTTGACTCCGTGAGATCGTGTGAACCTGGTGTGCTTCTACTTTATGATTTGTTATCAGTTCATTTCGTCTGTCTACTCTAAACGTTATCATTTCCGGTATAATTTGCCATCTTCCGCTTGACGCTGTGTTCGTAGCTCTTCACTAATTTTTTGAAAATCACGAGGGCGTGATTATCTGTAGGAAGGGAGGGTGCAGTATCCCTGCCCGACCAATACGGAAGCAGCACGGAACTAATACGGAGATTTGCCTGATGTATATTTAGTGTATCTCCGTATGTAAGCGTACGGAGTCTGCTGCATAAAAGCGGCTGCGCATTTCGGTTTTAATTAGATTAGATTAGATAGCAACGAAAGCTAACTCGAAGAAGAAGTAGTCAACCTCTAGGTGAGCACCGGAGAGAAAGTTATTTATTTTGCCGCTTCTTCTTTCACTAATAATTATATCTCAGGTGTGTACCTGAGAGAAGTAGAATAAAACTAATTCTTGTTGATTTCACCGCGCCTACCACTCGGCTACCATAACACATGTAAGGCTATAGTGCGCGTTCGAATTCCATGTTATAGTTATCTTTTTAAGAGTAGGAGAAATGAAAAAGAAACATCAGTTGCAGGGTAAATGGAGCCGGAAGCCACGGGCAACAAAGTTTCACGACAGCGCTAGATGATCCTGCAGCATTCGTCACCCTGAAGCGCGCAGCTTTCTCCAAACCCCGCCACTAGGCCTATATCGCCCCACAGCTAACACAGATGTTTCTTCAACGAAGCCTAGCCCATCCCGCCTCAATAAAGTACCCCATGGATGCAGCCCCAGACAGCAGGATTGGGCAATACGGCGTCAAGGACAATGATTGAGCAATACGTCGTCAAGAAGGGTTTCTAGTTGATTGCAACAACAACATCTGGAACACTAGCGCAATCGTCCTGTCTAATGAGTCTAGTTGTTTTTGGCAAAAAAACACTCGGATGTTGTTGAGGCAATAATATTAATTAACAAAGAAGAAAGGACCACTAAGTTAGGAGTTATGACTAAGAGTGCATCAAAGTAACGAGAAACTATCCAGTCAGCTAGTGCGACAACAAGGGGTTTGGCACTTTCTATAATATTAGATTGGACCAAATGTTTAAATACAGAAGTTGTTTCCCCACACGACACCATTTCGCCAAGATATGTCCGTAATGATCCTTGACAAGGAAAGCATACTATGGCTTCAGAACCACTCGGATGTTGAGCCAATTGAGAAAGGACGAATACTTTCGGGTTATGACTAACAGCCTGCCAAAGCAATGAGATATTATACAGTCAGATAGTGCGATACCAAGTAATTACGCTGACAGGGATATTCAGACAGGTACCCAATGAGAATTCCAACGAAAGCCATGTGCACCTTAGCACTCTAGTATATCTTGCAGAAAGTTGTTGTCATTGATGGCATGGTCATGTCTATTCCATTAGTTGCTTAGCAAACTGCTGCTTGCAGTCTCCCCACGTTCTTTTCAGTGCTACGGAATTGACTGTTGCGTTTGCATGCCACGGCCCACAGGAAAATCTATGCATTTTTAGTATTGGGCCCCATCTGAGAGAATTTCGAGATAAATATCAAACTCACTGGAAACTATTCCATGCATGAACGCGACCATGCTGTGTATTCAAATACTCAGTGCTTGGTGCATTTACTTCATATGCAGAGTAAAGCAGTAAACGAAATACAACTTGCCCACGGTAGTCGTTGGATTCGTAGGATTGACTTCACATAGCCAGTATCGCCACCACGCACATGGATTATACACACAACGACACGCACAGATACAAACACTTCACTCAAAACCTAGAGCACAGCAACATGTGGACCTTGGAAAACATATAATAACTTTGTCAGAACACTGATAGCAATTATCAAGCTGAAATCTAATGTTGTTTCAAAATAAATTATTACATATTTTGTTTCAGAATTTTTGCACTATTACTTCTGTGAACAAATTTAATTGAAAAGGAGCAAGAAAAAGCGTCAGTTGAGTTTTTACGCTTTGCACACTGGATTCGTACATTCACGCAACAACAGTATACCCTGATTTCCTGATGCCGAATAAATGCATGGAGCAAATGTGCAAGATATCTGTAAGGTACCTCCTCCCGTACGTCTACAACCATATCCAAGTTGGCCTGAATGCACTCTCATACTTTTTTGTCTCCTTTTGTTCCGTTGGCCTGGGAAGCTACTTGCGCGCCCATAATTGCCATAGCTACCCAGGCCCTTTATCTTGCCGTTCACACTTGCTCTCTACCTCTTCTTTCTCTCTTACACAATGACGTCGTTCCGTTTGTCTCGGGTTCTGTCTCTTCGTCACCTGTAATAAATGTTCCACCTACCAGTTTTCGTTGTCCATTATTGTGCTTGGAGAGTATGACTTCCTCCTGTTGGAACCCAACATATGTAGTATCCCTGCCCGACCAATACGGAAGTAGTACGGAACTAATACGGAGCTTTGCCTGATGTATATTTAGTGTATCTCTGTATGTAAGCGTACAGCGTCTGCTGCATTAAAGTGGCTGCGCATTTCTGTTTTGAGGAAGATTAGATTAGATAGCAACGAAAGCTAACTCGAAGACGAAGAAATCAACCTCTAGGCGAGCACCGGAGAGAAAGTTATTTATTTTGCCGCTTCTTCTTTCACTAATAATTATATCTTAGGTGTGTACCTGAAAGAAGTAGAATAAAACTAATTCTTGTTGATTTCACCGCGCCTACCACTCGGCTAAATGTTACACATATCCTTAGTGATAATTGGACTTGGAAAACACTACATAATTCAGTCCTCTCGGAGCAGAACGTTAACAGGCCTCCACAAGCCGAGCCGATGATTGGTCAATTCCCTCTATATTAAAGAGGGAGGGCTTTCTTGCAAGTTTGCCCAGTGGCAGGTGCGACAGGCTGTTCATGTGCTCTGAATAGCAGCCATAAGTCATGCAAGTGTCAAGCCAGTCAGCAGGAAGCGCAAGCTTCCACGTTTAGTGCAGCCACACAATAATTGCTGTCTAAATTATTTTGCCCTATTCCCTGCATGAGCCCAATGATAAGAAAGAGACAAACACGAGATACCTTTTAAGTTAGACATGATGTGTAGTCTGCGTAGACACATAAAATATAGGTGGCAGTAATACGGTTCATCGCCAACAGATTTTTAGTATGCTCTCCTAGCCATGATTCTTCCAAACATTCTCTAGCTAGATCAACACTGCAGTGGAGAAATTCTTAAAGATAAACCTCAACTACAGAATTCTTACCTGTGCAATTTGGTAGGTTAGACAGGGTCCCGTTCAGCATACATGTGACGTTCCTCCCATTTTCCGTTGAAGTGTATTTATCATTGCAAGCCACATACATTGAATTATTCACTTCCAATCTCGGAATATCATCCGAGAGGGAGTTCCAATCTTGAGTGGGGCAATGGGTTGCTGAAGAAGGGAATGGATTAGAAGAAAAAGGTAAATGCACACTCTGCAGACAGTTAAAAGGAGTTATACAAATGATACTACCTTGACTCATGAGACGTTCACCAAAACAGGCGGATATATCAAAGTGGAGAAAGGAACGGACTTTTACAGCACCAAACAGTGGTACATAATTACTTACGCACACAGTCCTGAGCAGACCTTGTCCAGATTTCATCAATACTGTTACATGGGCAATTTATGCCTTGTATGTTAGACACAGTGATCCTGGCACAGCTGGTAACACTGGCATTATTGCAAACCATAGAGCAGCCTAGAATGCAGCATATAGAACACAAACAATATTCCAATGAAAATGATTCACCTCTTGATGACAGCTATTCTTACATACCTTTTTTTGGATTTTTTTGGATTTCCCTGTACTTGGCCTTACTGCCTGACCCGTGCCCTCTCATGAACATTATATAAAATAGCAGAAATAAACCACACACTAACAAGATGAAACACCAATGTGCAACTGGCAGTAGCTACAACTGTATGAAAGAAAGAACTGGTCAAACTATATCAAATTCCACAGAAGCCTCTTAGTGCTCATTGTGTTAATACTGTATGAGATAAACACTGCGATGTCTTTTATAATACTGTACCACCATATTGTTCATCTGACTAATGAGGGAAACCAAAATGAAAATATTAGTATGCTGTGAACAGACTCTGGACGGAATATTTCTTCAGAATTGGAAATTTCTTGGACCACTTGGATACAGACTTACTTTCACACAATGGTTGACTTGGTTGCCATCTTCCATTGCCCTGGCATGTAGACTGGGTTATTTCCATACTATTGTTAGACAGATAACCTGTTCTGCACTCGATGGGTACTAGGGGACCCGCCGGTTGTGTGCTGAGACCGGGAATAGGTTTATAATTGAAACCACTGTCATTGAGATCTGGACATAGTGCTGGGAAGAAAGCGGTAAATTGCAAGGCCATTACTCGCAGTAAGTGAAAACCCTACCTAATAAAGTTGCTGTGATGGTCCATAAAGACAAAGGCAGACAATGTTTAGTGGTCCAATGACAACAAGTGTACATCCAGACCTGCGGCACTTGTCCGTGTTGTGTTGAAAACCAATTTTTCACATATCTAACAGTAGAACCGCCAACAGTGTCATTTGACACCACGCGAGTCAAACTTTTGGAATTACCGAAACATGGCTAATCAGAATACGCTCAAATCTTGTGACTATTCCTAGTTTTGCTTCTCTTTCGTCTGCCATAGCCCATTGATTTCTAATTGGTGAGGTACCACAATGGCGAGTATGTATACCTAGAACGGCAAACCAGTGTCATTTGACACCTGGACTAAAAAAAGCCATTATTGCAGCTAGATGGAAACAATATGAACACATATCGAAGGAGTTGGCCATATTGAGTTGCTCGGATGCCAACGGACCGAAGAAAGGTCCATGGCCAGGAAAATTGCTGAATACAGGACGGAATATATGATCACATACAACCGTCGAGCGAGAATCGCGAATTTGTGGCGGGTAAACATTAGTGCACAGATTACACAAACACTCTTCAGCTAATGTCCTTGATACTGCTCATTCCCTGTCATTTTCCTGCAAATTACCCCAGAGGAGCAATCGCGGTGTGACGGCCAAAGAAACACTAGAATGGATGTAGCCTACTTCAAGTATTACCATGCATGAATCTGATGACCATGACAGCGAAATTGCCCACTTTATCTTCATTTGATAAATGTTCAAGTGTAGTGACCATTGGCAGTGGTGCATCTGTTCTGTCATATGAATGCGAATCGTACGGTCACAACACCTGAGGATCTTTGGATTCAGAATGTATTGAGGTTTACCAGCCTCCAGAGAGCGAACAAGGATCGCGTGATAGTCCAGACAAGGAATTGTCAGAAACAGTTGCAGGAGTGGTGGAGACCCCGAAATGGATAGTGTTGAGGAAGAGGAATCGAAACTCTGCAACCTGGAGATGGTACACCGCATTATCACAAGGATGGTCGTTTGTAGATAATCTTTTCTAACTACTTGACGAGCTAATAAGGTTCTTGAACCAAACCTCTTCCACCCCCACTTCAGGCTAAACGGGTAGGCAGCCACCGGGATTGCGTCTCTCTATCCATTGGCTCCGGATGCTGCAGAAGGTGACACTGATGCCCACAGCACCTCCTGGGGGCCGCAAGCGACATGGGTGAGCTGAGTAACCAAGAGCTCTGATTTAGCCCAAATAGCTACACCACCTCCTGCCTCATTTCTGTCTTTGCGAACTACTGTGTATCCAGTAACAAGTGTATCAGAGTCCAGAGTGCTTTGTCCATACTTCGTTTCCGTCAATACTGCGACATCAATGTTGTGTGTACGGACTGCGTGCTGCAGCTACCCAATTTTGTTGGACATAGTGAAGGCATTGGTGAGGAAAATACGAAGGTGTTTGGCCATTTTAGTGAGAATTCTAAGGCGGCAGTCGTCTCAGCGGTGGCGGCTGCATTGGCAGCTGGGGTTGTTCGCCTGAACTGCCGTTGCCTGTTTCCGAATCATCAGGAACTATGTCAGTGCCAGAGTCCATGGCTTCACCAGTACCGCTTACGCCAGGAGGCTCCCAGTTTGGTCCGTCAGAGGTGGTTGTTGTTGCCAGGGATCCCTCAGAGGCCAAGTTGCTGGTGGGGTGACCCTGTTGTGTGTTGCTGTCATCCTTGCTGTTGCCGCGGGGATTCTCGTCGTTGCCCTGGGAGCGGCTGACAAGATTGTCTCACCATTGGCGGACAGGCGTTATCTTCCCACCGGCTGCAGCATCGTCCGCATACCAGCCCTGTTTCGAATCAGGCACTGCAACTTTCTTGATTAGCGGGAGGACTCCAAGCGCGTATATGGGCTTGGCCGGAGGGTCACCCTGGGTGGTACCCTCGCACAATTGCAAGCACTCTCCATCAACCAATAGGCGGGATGGTTGGCGGTAGGTATTGATTACAGCTGGCACTATAGAGGGACAGAGGTGACGGATGTTCCGTAGGCAGGCTTCACGGTTAAGCCGGTTGAAAGCGTTCGAAGCATCGGCGAGATATTATGGCATCCGCATTCTCCTCACGGTAGACATCTTGCATCGCATGGATGGCAGCTTCAATGCCGCACTCCTGACCGGCACACAGTTGAAGGGTACCCGCTGCATCTTGTATATCTCTCCCAAACTGTCTGTTGATTGGGCAAATCGTACGAATGAATTACATGTAACGTGCGACGCCAATTGCCCGGTAGTGCTGCACACGCTGTATATGACTGGGAACAGGTTTTCCTTCTAAAGCTGATAATCAGCAGGACTGCTGCTGGCTTGGCCTAGCTGAAGCTCACATCTTGCTGCAATGGTGCAGCATATCTGTTAATTGGCTGCATGCATCCTGTTCTGCGGCGCAACATGTCCGGGTGCGGGTGCAGACTGGGACGAGTGCATAGGTTATTTTCATAGATGCTTCATCTACATGGGGTAGATAACTGTAATCTCCTCCTGGTGATGTATTTTCGTAGTAACCGTACTCCAGTCAGCTTCAGCCTGTGAAAGGCTACATCTTTCGCATCCATTCCGACTAATTTGTATGCACTGCTATGGTGGTTGCTATGGGTGTAATTTAAATTTGGCTTTATGGAATACCAAAAGTATTGGTCAAGTGATGGAAGATCTCTATTGGCTATCATCTCTGAAAATTTGAAAGACCCTCAACGAAAATGATTTTCACCTTTTTCTAGTTGGTTTTGAATTTCCCGGTTTTGTGCCCCGGGACTGCGGCAACACTGTTCCAGCAAAAGTGCCAACAAGGGCACTTCAAAAGACCATAACTTTTGAACGTCTGTCGGATTTAGGCAAACCTGATATATTTCCTGGCTAGTTTATCCTACTCCTTCCAATGAGACTAAAATCGAAGGGATCGGAACAACTTTCAAAAACGTCAGAACACCCAACTATGAGCTTATGCTCGTAAAGGAAATCTATAGTTGTCCAACACCTTACACCAGGAAAGCAGCTTCACGACAATCTTGGGAAGCGAGGAATCGATTCCACAACCGTATCTTATTGACATTCACTCCAAGGAAATCAAATTATTGGTGAAGATGCAGAAATTCGCTCCACACGACACCGGCACTCATTTGTTTGTCCGCGAAGTGGAGAAATTCAGGTCAAGTATATTCATATGGTGAAAGAGCGTAACGCATAATGTTTATTATTTTTTGAGCCGTATACTCTCTATTGCCCAGACTCAGATTTGATGGGGTCAGAGTGACGAGTATTCTCCTCATAAACACGCAAAGGGTTGATCATTTCCGGGTTTATGATGAGTACACTCTTTTCTCATCGAGGCAATGGAGAGTTCACGCTTCGCGTCTTTTCAACTTCGAACGTGAGAAAAACATGTTTTAAACTGCATTGTGGAAGCCTCGGAGTTGCTTGAGCTGAATTCTGTGCGTATCTGCTACCATCTACATGTAAGTCGGTATTTCGATTATGCTGAGAATTGACCGAGTTGAAATCCTTTTAACAAAACCTGGATGACAATGAAAGTATTGGTTTCGAGTGGTCGAAACCGAAATGGTAAAAATAGGTTAAAGTCCAGTGTCCAGGTGGATGGTTTGTGGAATGATTCTCTACTGTTAGTAGTGACTGCGCTGTTTACATGTGGAATTCACCAAAACCCTTAGATAGATAATTTGGTGCTAAGCATACTGCGCGCGCGTTACTGGTATTCTCTGGTATAGAGAATTTGTTATCTACATTATAGGGGTTAAAATGCACGTTATTTCCAACGTGACGCGCAGTTTCACGTCAAATTTGGCGTAAAACTTCGACGTGAGCTTCAGGTCACTCGCGTTGTTTTTCGACGCACGAGCTAAATAACGCGAGCTAAACTTTCACATCAAGTCAGAAATACCGAGCATCTTAGCCTCTCCTTAGCCTCTCCGTTGTATGTACCCCAACCGTCATGATTACTAGGCATATGCGGGTAATGCCAGCAGAAAAATTGTCAGAATTAGGTACTTTTTCTGGTAAGTTTCATGCATGTTTGGTATGTGGATAAAGAAATAGAGCAGAATTCGAGGAATTGCCCGCTATAAGGTTTGTATGGTTCTGCCAACTTCACTGATTTTCCAGCAGAATCTGCAACCTTTTCAAGCATTATCCGCACACCACTAATGAGGACAACGTGTCTTACAGTGCACGACTGGGCTGGCAACACTGCTCTCCATAGTAGCAGCTACAGGTTATACATCTGAAATTGTCAGTGTTCACATCACACTTGTTATTCACTCAAACCTAGTAATTCTGAACAAATACCAACCTTGGATTATGACAGAGATAGTGGTAGATATTGCCTGGGTGGCATTTACACATCTGTCAATCACGCTTTGTGGACGTGATGGAGTTGAACCCATTCCAATACAATCAAAGTTTGTAGTGTACGATGTCGTACAGGTTACACTGAAGGTAACACCTGATGTATCACTTTCTGTAAACACAATCTGAGCATCATTCTGTTGGAAGCTGAACGTTGAGTTCACCATAGTGGCAGGCATAGTTGTCTGTATCATCTGTGAGTCCGGAGATAATGTTGAGCTCCAAGATGCGTTGAGAGGAAAGTTTCCACTTGATATACATGGTATGTTGTGAGAAGCACCCGTGTTGGTCAATGTCAGTGATGCAGGGGATGGTTCTGTATGAACTTGTTGAGCTGTGGAAAAAGGACACATGGAAGCAGTAATAAATTGACAGTACAGTCGATTATGGACCTGAGAAAACCAAATACACAACCGGGCGTGCATTGACGGGAAAAACCGCTTCCTGTAGCATTACGGGATGTTTGCAGAAGAAGCCCCAGCCAGCCAGTGGTGCATA